TGGTTACCAGCGTAATTATAATCGGCTATCATGCTGAGCTCATTTCTTATGAACAGTTGGTAACATCTGAAAATGCATAAATCCATTTTGCAATAGACAAATTTATTTGTAATTTGTTAATAATTTATAGTTCGTACTTTTACATGCCAGCAACTATTTTTAAGATGGACTAGGAGTGTTTGTCATTGTTTTCGTTATTGATTTTATTAAAACTAATTAAATAAAAATGTTTTCATTTATTCTTTGCTCACTTTATTTTCTTAAATAATTTCAATTCTGTTCATGCAAAATAAACAGTAAGCAAATTGTTTAGATGGCAAAAAATGAATTAAATACTCATATTGTGTATTTGGTTATTATTAAAATACATCTACTACTGACATGTCTCCTTTGCTATTAGTTACACTTTTCTGGGTTCTTTTTTTAAAAAACTAAAGAACACTTGTTCCTATAATAATCTGTCCACACCTTCAGATGGAGTCTGATATGTTTCCTGGAGTACCTCCTCCTTCAGAGGCAAAGCTGATATCAGTCCACTCGCTTTTCAGCCATGGTACCTACTTGTGAAAAATTCTTCCCTGGTGAATTTGCATAATGTTTTCTCTCCAGTATTAGGTGGAAACATTTTAATGCACCATTTAAATTATCAATCTTGTTTTATAAACCACCTTTAAGTTAGAAGAAAGTCAATACAACTAAAAAAAATTATAACTATCCTTGAAGGCTTTCATGGCAGGAATCTGCTGGTTGTTGTAGGTTTTTCAGGCTGTTTGGCTGTGCATGTTAGACCTGGTGTTTCCCCTGAGCAAGGTGAGTGTGGTCTGATGGTGACTGACCTTGTGTCGGTCCCCTTGTCATGGTTTTATCACCGCCTAATTAAATGCAACCTCTCAGTGACTCTCCCTCCCCACAGGTAGCAAGGACCTATTTTAATGGTCCAACCTCGAAGGTTACTAGATCCTATAGGATTCCAGGACTCCATGAGAGGGATTCTGGCTGATCTGACTGGTGCTCCTGTTGAGGCTCTGGTTGATGGCTGGCTTGCCACTGCTACTAGGGCTGTTGACATGATCACTCCTAAACACCCTCTTCATTGCAGAGCTCGTTCAGCGCTCTAGTTTAACCAGCAGCTGCGAGCTATGAAGCAAAGTAGGAGAAGACTAGAGTGCAAGTGGAGATGAAACCCGACAGGTTATAATCAAAAAGCTGTCAGGATCGCGACTAACTGTTACCTTACCAGGGTCAGGGCTGCTGGTAGAGCTTACTTTGCTGTCCAGATAAGTGAAGCTTCAAATCAGCAGGCGGAACCTTTCCGTATAGTCCGTGATCTATCTGGAATTGGTCTAATTGATAGGCCTCCAACTAATATTTCACCTGACCAATTTGAAGCATTTTAAAATCTAAAGTGGAGGCTATCCGTTAGAAGCTCTTTCTTTTTTTTTGAACACAGTAGATCGAGCAGACCACGTCCAGCGTTCTGCCTTGCCCAATGAGATACAATTCTTTCAGCCTGTGACACCAGATATGGTGGACAAAGTGCTTGACCGCTGTTGTGCCACCACCTCTGGACAAGACGGAGGTCTTGAGGGTGGGTGACTCCAGTGCCAGTGGTTTGGGGAAGTCCCTCCCTTTTGTGGGGGTGACTCTCATCACAAAGAATTTGGTTCGCAGTCTGGGGGTCCATCTTGACCCGGTGCTTACCATGGAAACCCAGGTAGCGTCAGTGGTCCGTACCACCGATTTCCATCTTTGGAAGATTGTCCAGCTGCATCCCACTTGATATGGGGATCCTCCCCACTCTGGTCCATGCACTTGTAGTCTCGAGATTAGACTACTGTAATCTACATGGCCTACCTACAGTGGCCACTGTAATCTACATGGGCCTACCTTTGAGATTGATGTGGAAGCTTCAAATGGTGCAGAGCATGGCGGCCAGACTTCTTACTGGGATGATAAAACATCAACATATCTCCCCTACTCTGGTTGCCCTACATTGGCTGCCCATTCATTTCTGCATTGATTTCAAAATACTAATGATGACGTATAAAGCCCTAAATGGTTTAGGACCTCAAACAGTTTAGGGCCTCCTCCCACCTATATCCTCCCGAATCACTCATTTTAGTCAAGATGGGCAGCTAAGGGGCCTAACACCGAGGGAGGCCCAAAGAGAAAAAAACAAGAAAGCAGGCCTTCTCGGCAGTGGCCTCTCGCCTCTCGCCCAGTCTCCACCCAGAAATTTGTCTGGCTCCCTCACTGGGTGTTTTTAAGAGCCAAATCAAGATCTGGCTCTTTAGGCAGGCCTTCCCTCCTGTTGATGCCTAATTTATTTGTTATTTTCAATTGTATTAATGTTGTTGTTTTATTTTTTTATTAGTCTTGTGTGTTGTTAGCCATCCAGAGTAGACTTTGGTCTAGATGGATGAGATATAAATTAAACAAACAAACAAACAAACAAAGAGTGGAGATGGTTATCTATTTTCATGTGGTAGTTGCAATGTATTAAATGAGAAAAAAGGATGTACAAATATTAGCATGGCATTTTTAAATTTGAGACTTGATAATTTAACCCAAATTTTGTTGGAGTTAGAGTAAATGAAAAAAGACAACTTATGGTCTATATATTTCTCTCTCTTTTTTGAGGGAGGGGAATATTGTTACCTAGGATGAAACGTGAAGTTACTGAAGTCTGCAAAATCTTAATAATATTAGGTAGACTTTTTGACCAAACTCCGGGAGGCAGCGGAAGACAGGAGGGCCTGGCGTGCTCTGGCCCATGGGGTCACGAAGAGTCGGACACGACTTAATGACTAAACAATAACAGACTTTTAGAATCTTGTGAATAGTGTATGTATGGTACTATGCTTTTCTTATAAAAATTAACTGAATTAGGTGATATAGCTAAAATCAGTCCAGATATACATTTGTGCAATCCTTTAAGCAATGATTTAGATTTTTCAACGTCTTCCACTGCTCTGCATGCTGCTTTCTAGCCTACCCACCCCACAAATCAGGCTCCATGCATGCAAAGGTGTAAATTTCTGTGGAGGTATGTGAATTTCTCAGGCTTCATCATGTTTCCCTACACCGTGTTACCCTTATTGCAATTCAGGCCAGCCTTTTTTTGCTCAAAAAAATATGTATATAATTTTGTACCCATTTTCAAAACAGATGCATTTTTGGTATAGAATTTTTTTTCAAGGTAGCTTTTGTGTGAGGTTTCTTCCTGACTTGCTTACATTTTACATTTTGGGGTGTGTGTGTGTGTGTGTGTGTGGTGTGAGTGTGTGTGTGTGTGTGTGTGTGTGTGTGCGTGTGTGTGAGAGAGATATAATTTTGTACCCATTTTCAAAACAGATGCACCTGGAAAAGTACAGATTTCTAACCACAGTTCTGTACTTGATTCTGAGACATGTGATTTGGATAACTTTACAGTTGAACATGAACTCCAAATTTTTCACCATTTCCTGACACACAGGCTATGAACTGGTTCATCTTCGAATATAAACGATAACGTTGAGAGTTAACCCTTTGAAATTGGTGGTTAGAATTTATTTTGACACTTACATTTATCTCTTAAAAGAGCACAGCATCAAATGATCCATGTATTAAAATTTAATTAATAAGGATCATAGTGGAAATAAATAATCTGAAAAGATGGGAGCAAGCAATCAATTTTAATTGGAGAGCTTTATTGTTCATATATATTTGTATATGACAACTCATATTTTACAATTACATCACACAATAGCTTTGCCTTACAATATAAATCCTAGCTGAGACAAAAGTGCAGTAATAAATGACTAAATATAATCCTCTGATTACCACTCAGGCATGAAATGTGTTATTTTCCCTCACTAATTAAGTATTGATTTTGACTTTCTCCTTTTTAGTTTAGTCATACAAAATTACTGAACAGTATTTGTGCAAACTTTCTGCTCTACAAAATGTTCAGAACACTGTATTTTGCCAGATATGGCAGAGATTTTCCTTGTGAACTCCAGAGCTTGAAACACTTAAGTGATAGAAAAGAAGGGTTGGGCTGAATTAAGGCTGAGGAAAATGTATGCAGACTTCCAAAATCTCAATTGGCTAGGTATGTGGCAGTGAGTGAAGAAGGGGAACATGGCCATTTTCATACTCTGGTTCACTTATGGATTCTAGGCTTCTCAAATAGGGAGTGTTTTTTTCCTCAAAGCATTGAAACAAAATGACAATAGTTGTTTCTAAATTTCTTTTTGTCTGTACAATTTAGTTGATGTGCATAAGATTTGAAAGAAGCTCAGAGCCAGTTAACTTGACATCAATACCAGGAAAGACTCCAGAACAGATGTTAATTGTTGGACTGTAAGCACTTAGAGAAGAATGCTATGATTTCTGAGACCCAGCAAGGGTTTTTCAGGAACAAATCATGCCAGACTAATCTTACCTTTTTTGTGATAGAATCACAAGCTTGGTAGGTTAGAGAAATGTTGTGGGTATGTTGTGTCTTGATTTCAGCAAAGCTTTTGACAAATTCTCCTATGATATCAGTGTCCCCAGATTGGTAAAATGAGGACTAGGTGATTATACTATTCTTTGGATTGTAGGTGGTTGACAAGCTGTACCTACACCACAACATGCTTTGCAGGAGTCTGCTCACCACAGAGACAAAAATTGTGATTCCAAATGCCCTTTCCAGCAACACTGCATGTGATTATATATACCCTGTTCTCAGGAATATTGTGTGGAAAAAAAAGATAGGCACCACTATGGCAAATGGGTAGAAACTCTGCTCGGACATTTAGCCAAGTGGCACATTCTCATACATACCCAAACTTTTCATGAAATTATTTCATTTCCATTAATTGGATTGTGCTAGAGTTCTAATAGTCTTTTTGCTAATGAACATGTATATAAAATGTCTCATTGCTCCTCTGTTTTGACATGATACATGGCTCTAATGTAGTTCTACTTTTAATCATCTGTACTCCATTTGATGTATTATAATGTTGTATCTTCAGTTCCACCAGTCATACGAGTTTTTCCTGAAAGCCAAGCCAGGGAACCAGGCGTGACGGCTAGCCTTCGATGCCATGCTGAGGGTATCCCCAATCCAGTGCTTGGCTGGCTGAAGAATGGAATTGATATAACTCCGAAGTTATCCAAACAGTTAACTCTTCAAGGTAAATGAGCACATTTCAATAATGTTCTGAAGAGAAGAGGCTTGTCTTTTTTTATCTGCAATGCAGAGGCTTTAGAAAGTAATGTGAATATATGTATATGGGTGTAATTTATTTATCATGCCTTCAGACAGAGCCTTGAGCAACTATTGTGGTTAACTCCATCACCAACCTGGCAGTCTGGGGTCTCTCTTAACATACTGAGCAGTCTGGGGATCTCTCTTAGCTTTCTGAGCAAATACTTGTATCTGATGAAGTGAACTGCAGTCTACAAAATCTGTCAAATAAAATTTGTTAGTCTTTTAGATGCTACAGCACTTTCTGTTGGTCTTGGCATATCAGGCTAACAAGGCTAATACACCTGCAACATTATCTAGGGCAGTGGTTCTCAAACTGGGGTCACCAGATGTTCTTAAACTGCAACTCCGGAAATCCTGGCAAGTGGTGAAGGCTTCTGTGAATTACAATCCAAGAAAATCTGGATGCCCCAGTTTGAGAACCACTGATCTAGGGTGAAAAGTAACATTATGGCCAGAATCCTACTGGTGATGTAAGTGTGCATGAATGAAATCATGCAATGAATTGCAATAAATGTACAAGGTGTTAGCTGTGTGTGACGTCTTGTTAATTAGTGGCTTTTCAACACTGGAATTCATGTCATTTCACATGCACATGTGTAAATCACATTAGGATTCCAATCACTAAATTATAAAAATGGGATAGTCTTCTAAAAAACAGGTGCATAAGTTAACTTCAAACAAAGTATTTTTCCAAATAGAAAACCATTTATTATTTAGCGACTGCCCTCCTATCTCCTTGAAATTATGCTCTTATTGAGGGGGTGCAGCATAATTGCACACCATCATTTACATAGAGGTGAATTGGACTTTAGTGAAACTCTAGTGCATGAATGCTTTTAGAGTGTGACCAGATTGACAAATGCTCTTGAAAATGCTCCAGGATTGGGACATAATGATTCACATTATTTTCTGTTGACTGCATGAAGTTGACTGCATGACGTTGATTTTCTGTTGACCATATGATATAGTCATACTGACTACATAATGTAAGAGTCAATGCAAATCAGCCTGGACTTCTCCCCTCAATCTAAAGTTTTTTCCTCCACTGCTAAGCCTTGTACTTGCATTGACATTAGTTCAAGCAGTCTGATTACATAAATCAATGCATTTCTGCAGATACACATACACTCTGCCTCCATCTCCCACCTGTGCTTTGTCATTCCAAATACCTTCCACCCCCACCTTGGGGAACTCATTAGTCTCTTTTGCCTTAGAAGGGAGGGTGAGCCAGAGCCAGTCCTGCAGCATTCACTTGTTCCCTGTTGCAGTGAGAGGCTCCACTTGCTCAGCCAAATCTCAATCCCCAGCCCTTTGTCTTTATTTTTCAGCAAAGGCTATGCTGGAGTGATGATGCTTAGGTGGCAGAAGGAAGGCAATGGCATGGCAGGTGGGGGACCATCTCAAAACTGCAGGAGTGGTCTTTTCTAACCATGCTGCTTATTTTCTTTTTATTGGCTTGGGCCCGCACAGTTGCGCCATGGCACCTAGAGATGAGGGGGTGGGTTGGGTGCGGGAGAGAGAAATTGCCACTTTGTTTACAGTTTATTTAGGTAGCTTTCCTGTAACAGTGTCTCCTGCAAATCTGGGTGGCTTACAGGAGAGTTATATTTACAAGTTGCAAACAAAGCTGTTTGCCAACTTACTTCTCTGTCTCTTCTAACTACTGTGTGACCAGTCAAGGCAAATTTACCCTGGGAAGCCTGACTTCCCAGGTGCAACTTGTCACGATTACACATGGCCCCTGATTGTTTCACCAAACTAGGAGCTCACACTACATGCCCCTCAGCTGCCACCAGTTAATTTCATCAACAATTGCTATTATTAATAATAGCTGCTCAGACCATATGTCATTTTAAAAGAACCAAATATAAATTGTTTATTGATACAGGTGTTGACAGAACAAGAAATATTGTTAACTCTTAAACAAACATTCTTTATTCACCCTCAACCACCATTCTCCTGCCCAAACTCCGAAACTCTCTCAACTTTCTGACACCCCAAATCTCCCTTTCAAAACCCTATCTATGTCTATCTAAACTCCTCCCCATCCTGCTGAGTCTCTTATACCTCGTGACTCCGCCCCTCCAGCACTCCCGTTGGTTTATGCAAATAGCGTATGACTATTCATGACATAGGCAAATACCACACAACTTAACTGTGGATATAGTCACATTTTTCTCACTGTGTAGTCACACAATTACTGGTGTGGATTCACTGATGAACACATTCTCCCTTTGCCCGTTATAGCCAATGTAATTAGCCTGAGGACTTTTGGCAATAGAGGGAATTACTAGGCTATCAGAGAACAGCAAAGGCAAGTTTTAAGCTGCTAGACTTAAGGATCTGTATTAAGATGTTAGAGAAAGAATGGTAGCATTTCCAGAGCATGAAAAATTTGCTAGGGAGCTTCCCATGGTAGATTTGTAGTTGTCTGGAGACCTGGAGACATTGTAAGAAAAAACCTCCAGAAACTTTAGGCTGTGTAGATTGCTCTTCTTTCCTTCATATCACAGACCACTGCTTTATGCTTGCCCAGAGCTGCGCATACACCTTGGGAACATGCTTTTCTTAAGCCATATAAGTACCTAGGCAACATGTTGGGCTGTTGCTGGACTGCACTGATCTGAACTCTCATGTGGAGATGCCTGCCCATGGTAAAAGTGCTTTTGCAAGAGCAAAGGCTACCCTTAGGTCCTCCAGAAGCAACACTCATTCCCAAATTGCTTGCAATGAGTCCACAGTAAATAAAACTGGCCCTAAAGAATGCTTTGTTGTTTTCAAACACCCAAGGAAAAAAAATAAAGGGGTGCATTTGAGAGCCACTGTCTTACACAAGTTGAAACTGGGCTGACTATATTTCTGTGTGATCACTTTTAGAGCCTATATCCCAATGCCAGCTTCTTTTAACTATATCCCTCTTGGAGTGATCACATCTGCATTAGTAGAAATATGGTGATGTGTGCATGTTGAAAGTGAAGCAGAAATATCTGTTGTTTTGCTATCCAGAGAAATAAAAGACCTTGTTTCACCAACTAATCACACTTTTCTAGAATGGTTTGGTGTGTCCCAATGTGAACTGTCAGGAAGGGTGAGCAATTAAATAGTCACACTTGCTGGTACATGCAGTTAAATGGATGCACGTGAAGTCAAAGGCGAGACACATTATTTTTCAAGACACGGTGATACAACTAAGATTGTAATTTAAATGTTGTGTTCTTCTGTGTGCAGCAAATGGCAGTGAGGTCCACATTAGCAATGTTCGCTATGAAGATACAGGAGCATACACATGCATTGCAAAGAACGAGGCGGGAGTAGATGAAGACATCTCTTCACTTTTTGTGGAAGATTCTGCTCGAAAGACCCGTATGTATAATTTTAAATGTCATCTTGGGGCTAAGGAAGAAATGATAATTGCTAAGAAGTGATGGTAAATTGTGATTTATACTTACATAAGCAAAGGCTTTTTCATTGTGCAATACACAGGGAAATCTCTAGTGTGTGTGCTGACTGAGCCTAGATCTTCAATGTGTTGTATCCAGCATGCCAGATTCATACATTAATTCTAAGGGGGAAAAAATCATGGGGATAGGGTTTTGTTCATTAATTGTTTTTATTCTGGTAGAAGAATAAATTACTATTTCTTACCTTTAGTAGTTCCTGACAAGTAAATGTCATGGATGCCATCTCTCTTTCAGTGACAAATTATCCATCTGCTATCTTGACAAGGGAGTAAAATTAAATTAAATAGTCTCTAGTGAGGTTGTTTACTACCTCGCTGCAATAATTCTTTCATTGTAAATATACACCATCACCCTAGGCACCAACATCTTGCAGATGTAAAAGCTCCCTCTTTCAGAAGCTTTCTGCACACCTAATCCATGCAATCTTGTGCTTATTCCCACTGATACCACTAGTCTTAAATACAGTCATCTGAATGTAATGTTTGTCAATACTGTTGTCAAGTCTGTTTATCTTTGAGTGGTGCTGTCAGTTGTCTTTTGCAAGTTAGAGGGGGAAAAATTAATTCCACTCTATTATTCTCTTGTCATTTTGTTTTCCCGCTGTCACTTATTAAGAACAGTGTAGGAATGGGAGAAAGGAGCCAAATGTCTCTGCGCCAAATCTCTTGAGGAGTACACTCCAAGAAGCTAATACCTTGTCAACAAAGATACTTTGTGGTACAATGAGCAGAACTGTAGGCTCAAATATTACTAAGTCATTCGGTAGCCTTGTGTTAATCACTGTATCTTGATCTCACTTTCCATTGGGAAAAAAAATTAAAGAAATTATATAGTACTCCTGTCATGGTTGTTTGGGCTGAATGAAACAACTATAGTCAAACACTCTTCTTATTTGAAAACATGGTATATGCGCATTAAATATCAAATTAGTAATGGGCACTGCATTGAGATAAAAGTTGTGAAACAGCCACCACAACAGATCACACATTTTAGCCCTGGCAGTATTGAGAATAAAACAGTAGTAAAAAGATGAAGCCCCACAGGAGAAGGAGAATAGGCAGCTCAATGACAAGTGAAGCCTCAGGGTTTTTCTGGGCAGTCCACTACTGAGACCTTGGAAGAGAGCTCAGGATGAATTCATTGGGATCTGCATATCCCCTGCAGCTGCTTGAGCACCCATTTCAATTTCAGACAGAGTAGAGGAAGGATGCTGCATCACTTTTAGGTGACCTGTTGCATTCAGCAATGTTCTGGATGAATCTGTTCTTTTTTTAAATCTGGATTTTGATTAGATGGGTCAAAGTAATATTAAGGAATATCTCCCTCCCCCCACTTTCTACTTTTTGCCTTCATCTTTTCTCCTTGTTGGTGCACTGCAAAGAAATGCCAAAATGCCTGTCGCATTTGTAGTCCGGTGGCAGAAATGAGAGGAACCAAGTATTTCTCAATTCAGATCAGTCTTTCTGTTCATGATAGGCCTTTGATGCATTCTGTCATCACAGGGAACAACATCCTTCAGTGTCTTTCCTGGGCATGTTTCTGGAGGCTAGCTTACAGAACCATTTAAACCAGTGGTCCCCAACCTTGGGCCTCCAGATGTTCTTGGACTGCAACTCCCAGAAATCCTGGCCAGCAGAGGTGATGGTGAAGGCTTCTGGGAGTTATAGACTAAGAACATCTGGAGGCCCAAGGTTGGTGACCACTGATTTAGACGGCATATCCATCTCTGGATTCGTTGCCAGTCATTGCGACCACTTTGCCACTTAGAGCAGTCTGGCAGATTTTTTTTTCCTGGTAGAAAAAGGCGACCCTGCACCACACCTGGAAAAATATACTCTCCGAAATATCAGCATTATGAACCCACTACTGAAGTTCACCCCTTCCCCGAAATTAGGTGCTGCATGACAACACCTGTCGCTGGTCTCAGCCCTTTGTCCTTTCCATCCACGGTTTGCTTTGCTCTCCTTTTCTTCTTAGTGCTGATTCAGAAACATGAAAATACCTATGTGGACACAAAAACAAGTCTGTTCAGGTGACCTTTGAAACAGTAGGGAATGGGCCACGCCCAATCTGTATGACAAATACTCGAGAGAGACTGAGGTGGGGAAGTATTCACTTACTCCTGTACCAAATGCTGCAGCTGTATTCAAATTTTGTTGTTCCAGGAATGGTTTCACAACACTGACTACTAGAAATTAATTAATGTGTTGATAGAGAGAAATGATTAATTCTGATTATTTTTTGTTGGTGTATTTCTTGAAAAATAAGTATTAGATCTTAATATATAAGACCATCAGTGAGTAACAAGCCCTCAAAAGGGAGGCAGATGAAATCTCCTTTATTCTTTTATTCAGGCCTAGCAAACACCACACAAAGCACCAGGAAAATGTTTACTTCCATGTCTCGCTCCCTTCCTTCCCATCTATCAAGCTAATTTGGTACATCAGCAGTCAGTACATGAGACCACAAAACACTTGTAAGGGCCTCCCTATGGTAGGTCTTGTTTAGTCTAAAACTCAGTCCCAATAATTCTCACATTTTCTTTGTTGCTGTGTGTTAGTTTTCAAAATAACTGAGCAGACATTTGCTGTGAACTTCAGATTTGATTGATTTCTGGTGTTTGCTTTCTAGAACTCAGACCAGGAGCAAGTGATGTGACAAAAGGATTAAAACCCAAATTGTCAATCAGAAAAAGATGTATTGATTTCAGCAATCATTTACTAGAAAATACATGCCAATTACCTGTATATGAAAGCTCTTAGCTGTTTTTTTTACCATGCTCTTGCTGATTCAGATGGCAAACTTTGTCATTTTCTTATAAATATAGTACAGACAATCCAGCCTGTCCTAATAACTTTGAACTTACTTCCACTGATTTCAGTGAGAATACCGATGCATGTGTTTAATTTTCACCCAGTGAAGTCAGACCTCATAGCACTTGACTAATAATTATTATGGTGACCAATAATATACACTTATTTTTTTACCAATAGGAAAAGGTGTGTGACTGCTTCAGTCCCATCTATTAAATTTAATGATGAAGTTCTGATCCTTCCCTCTTTTAATGCCTGATTTGAAGATTTGAATAGGTTAGATGGAGTAATTGCCACCCAATCAGTATGTTGACATGCATAATTGTTGCGTGACCAGTTGTGCTGGCAGAAGTGAACTTTCTCCCAACCTCCCTCCTCAACAGCCCCTTCAGCAACACTCCACATGGCTACACAAAGAATGGCACACTGTTTTTTAGCATACCTGGATAGGGTTAATGCTCTCCACAGCTCCCAGTCAAAGTGCAGTTCCCTTATATTGGATATAATGGCTATTCACCTGGACTGCCACCACTGTGATCCAAGTATTTACTTATGGTTTGAGCCATCATGTCACATGAACTCCATGAATTCTGTTGTTTAGTCATTAAGTCATGTCTGACTCTTCATGACCCCATGGACCAGAGCACGCCAGGCCCTCCTGTCTTCCACTGCCTCCCAGAGTTCGGTCAAATTCATGTTGGTAGCTTCGATGACACTGTCCAACCATTTCATCCCCTGTTGTCCCCTTCTCCTCTTGCCATCACACTTTCCCAACATCAGGGTCTTTTCCAGGGAGTCTTCTCTTCTAATGAGATGGCCTAAGTATTGGAGCCACAGCTTCAGGATCTGTCCTTCCAGTGAGCACTCAGGACTGATTTCCTTCAAAATGGATAGGTTTGTTCTCCTTGCACTCCAGGGGACTCTCAAGAGTCTCCTCCAGCACCACAATTCAAAAGCATCAATTCTTCGGCGGTCAGCCTTCTTTATGGTCCAGCTCTCACTTCCATACATCGCTGCTGGAAAAACCATAGCTTTGAGTATGCGGATCTTTGTCGGCAAGGTAATATCTCTGCTCTTTAAGATGCTGTCTAGGTTTGTCATTGCTTTCCTCCCAAGAAGCAGACGTCTTTTAATTTCATGGCTGCTGTCACCATCTGCCGTGATCATGGAGCCCCAGAAAGTAAAATCTGTCACTGCCTCCAATCTTCCCCTTCTGTTTGCCAGGAGGTGATGGGCCCAGTGGCCATGATCTTAGTTTTTTAATGTTGATCTTCAGACCATTTTTTGTGCTCATCCTCTTTCACCCTTATTGACTTAAAGAATGAGGTTCTTTAAGTCATCCTCACTCTCTGCCATTAGAGTGGTATCATCTGCATATCTGAGATTGCTGGTATTTCTTCCAGCAATCTTAATTGCGGCTTGGGATTCATCCACTCCTCCTTTTTGCATAATATATTCTGCATATAAATAAGCAGGGAGACAATATACAGCCTTCTCATAGTCCTTTCCCAATTTTGAACCAATCAATTATTCCATATCCAGTTCTAACTGTAGCTTCCTGTCCCACATATAGATTTCTCAAGAGATAGATAAGGTGGTGAGACACTCCCATTTCTTTAAGAACTTGCCATAGTTTGTTGTGGTCCACACAGTCAAAGGCCTTTGTGTAGTCAATGAAGCAGAAGTAGATATCTTTCTGGAACTCTCTGGCTTTCTCCGTAATCCAGCGCAAGTTGGCAATTTGGTCTCTAGTTCCTCTGCCTCTTCAGAATCCATCTTGTACTTCTGGGAGTTCTCGGTCCACATACTGCTGAAGCCTACCTTGTAGGATATTGAGCATAACCTTGCTAGTGTGTGAAATGAGTGCAATTGTATGGTAGTTGGAGCATTCTTTGGCACTGCAGACTGTAGTCTGATTTCTTTTTTCCAATCCTCTGGCCACTGCTGAGTTTTCCAAACTTGCTGGCATACTGAGTGTAGCACCTTAACAGTGTCATCGTTTAAGATTTTGAATAGTTCAACTGGAATGCCATCACCTCCACTGGTCTTGTTGTTAGCCATGCTTTCTAAGGCCCTCTTGACTTCGCTC